AATTCCTGCCTGTCTGGGAGTAATGCCCCTCAATTTGGGGATCTGAGGGCAGATCTGGTTTTTTGTTCTATCCAGAGTCTAGACACGTTTGCTTTTCCCTGATACCACAGGTCAGGATCTGAGAGGGGGAAGAGGGAATTGCTGGCAGCAGCTCTGCAGAGGGATCTGGGCAGGCTGGACCACGGGCTGAGGCCACTCTGGGGTTCAGCAAAGCCAAGGATCAGCGTGGCCTTTTGAGGAGCAGGGGGCTGGGCAATGGTTGGACTCGGTGTCTCAGAGTTCTTTTCTAYCTTAAAYAATTCTGTGATCCTACAGAATTTCRTTGTTCCAGGCTGTTCTGGGTGGCTTTCAGAGCAAATGGGTGATTTGTCTTGCAGCACTTGAAATGACTTAATGCCAAAAATGAGAAAGAGGAATTGCTTGGTCTGTGTTTAGGAGGAATGCCCAGCGATTCCTATGGCTTGTCYAGTGTCAAAAGATAGTCCCACTATCTCCCAAAAAGAGACTGGTTTGGGTGGGAAATGAATCTTAAAAGTTCATGCAGTTCCACCCCTTTCTGTGGGCAGGGACACTTCCACTAGACCAGGTTACTCCAAGCCCTGTTGGACCTGGCCCTGGAGACTTCCAGGGAGTGAAGAATAAATTATTCAAGTTAAAATTTAGTACTTAATTTCTTGTGCTAATGAAGTGTCAGCCAAACATCCYGTTTGGAATTAAAATGTCATGAGAGGTGCTTAAACAACGGTGTCTGAGGAGATCCAAGTGACTTCTCTGCCTGATTTCTGCTTCTCCTTGCACCTTCTTTATTTCCTTAACTTTCTCTGCACGTATTTTGTGATGATGGGAATCCTGACCATTTATACCTCATACAAAGAGAAGAGTATTTTCCTGGTGGCTCACAGGAAAGACCCGGCAGGGATGGATCCTGACGATGTCTGGCAGCTCTCCTCCAGCCTCAAACGGTACCGTTGGCTTGGTCAGGGGCACCACTGCCATCCCTCCCTCTCCACAGGATCACCCTAAATACTGCCTTTTCTTTTCAAACCTACAAATCCATTCTGCTGCATCCAAATCCATGCAGCTCCAAATGGTGTTCTGACACAAATGTTCATTTCAAACCTACAAATCCATTCTGCTCCATCCAAATCCATGCAGCTCCAAGTGATATTCTGATCCAGATGTTTGTGTTTTGCTTCTCTTTAATGCAGAGTATAAAAGCCTTTAATTGTGTTCATTGTGTTAATAGTGTTAATTGTGTTAATTGTAGCTACGAGTGCCCGGGGGCCCTCCAGTGCAGGAGGGCTTTCCCCCTAAACAAGAGAGGGATTTCCATCCCAGCTGGGTCCCGCTCTCAGGCCTCTCTCCTTGCAGGTTCGATGACAAGTACACCCTGAAGCTGACGTTCATCAGCGGCAAAACCAAACAGCAGAGGGAAGCCGAGTTCACCAAATCCATCGCCAAGTTCTTCGACAACAACGGGACGTTGGTGATGGAGGCCTACGAGCCAGAGGTGTCCAAGCTGCACGACAGTCTGGCCCTGGAGAGGAAAACCAAATGATTGCAGAGCCCGCCCGCCTCCACCAACGTGCTAAATTAACACCAATAAAGGCAAATGGCAAAGAAAGTGAATCATGGCCTCTGTTTTTGTCCTGAAGTCCTATTTTGGATACGCAGGAATTTTGATCCTGCTCCCAAGATTTATGGAAGCTCATGGCTAAGCTTGGTCTGTGTGCCTGYCTTCCTGGCTCTGAGGAGGACCCCGAAGTTGGATTTTGGGGACCCCTGGGAGGGGAAACACATCACCAAGGCTGCCCCAGCTTCCTCTGCTTCACCTGGCAGTGCTTTGTCACGTGCTCCRTGTCCAGGGGGTTGTACCAATCCCACCTTTCTGTTTTGTGTTAGGAGTTCAGGACAAAACCCTTCYGTGAAACAACCGTCCCCTTGCAAACAAGTTTGCTTTATTTTTGTATTTATCTAACTGGGGGGAGAGGATTGTTTTATATAAAGACCTTTTATGTGTTGGGGGGGAGAATCAAATTGCTACTTCTGTGTGCTCGGCCACGAAGCTTCTCAGAAAGTGTAAAAAATTTTCAAAGCTGTGTCTGTCTGTCTGTCCGTCCCATGGTTCCCTTGTGGCATCTCCTGTTCCACACGTCCCTTCTGTCAACTGGCATTTTTTAAAAGAGTGATCTTTGGGTTGTTTTTTCAATAAAAGGGAAGAACAGACATCAAASGTGTCCTGGAGCATCTCTGGGGTGTGTTGTGGCTGGGGAGGGAATCCTGGTTCACAGAATCCTCAAGACTGGGAGAGCACAACCATTCCCCGGCAGCACCACAATTTTGTCACCTGAACCAYGTCCCCAGGTGCCACATGCAGGCTGTCACCCAGCCAAGAGTGCACCCACCTGGGCCCAAGGACCTGTGAGTGACTGTTTCATCCAGGATTTGGGGGGTTTCATTCATCTCCCCATTTCTGCCTTCCAGCCACAGGATCTGCCTCCTCCTGGAGCTTTAGGGTTTCCTTCACCCATGTGCAGCCTTCCTGGACTCTTTGGTCCTTCAGGACTGACTCCTGTGTAAACCACACCATATCAAAAACCCCCAAATGCCACCGATGGCACCAGCATCCAGGCCACGCGTTAAAATGCGCTTTTCCTGGTTTTCTGTTCCTTTCAGGATTCTCCCCGGTACTGAAGGAATTGAGGACACGTCCTGTGCACCTGCTCCTGTGTCCAACTGTCCCCAAAGTCCCTTTGGATCATCCCGAGTCTTTCTCCTTCATCTCATCACTGCCAGCCCAGACCACAACAGCGGGCAGTGGTCAGAGGGAACCCCTGATGTGTGATATCACAGGACCTTTGTGATTTCCTGGCCCTGCCTCTCCCATTTCCACAGAAGCCCCTGGGAAGGTGAAAGCGGCCGGGAGGGGATTCTCCTGCACCCCAGGCAGTGTCCTGCTCC